ACACAACACACTACACACACACAAAACACAGTTATGGAGTTAATTTTTTAATACCACATCGATTCTTTAATTTCGGAGTTGTAGCTGAGGCGTAAGCTAACTAATATCAACTAAAACTATCTGCCATAAATGATCAGATTTATTTAAGTATAATGCCTATTTGCTAAATTAAATGTTGAATTTAAACTTTTTGTCCAATACAATATCGAAGTGAATACTTCAACCACATTAATACTTTTCATTGCATACTCTTGGGTGAATCGAAAAGAGAGAACTATCCGCAAAACCAGTGTTAATCAATTTTCTCAGCGCTCAAAGGTATGCTCAAGATTACTGCCTATAACTGAGTTGAAATCAGCACTTTTGGTTTACTTCTTCGAATTACTTCAATTCCTATGCAAATTTGTTTCACACAGTAAGACAAAGTTATATTTAGGGATCACAACCATTTTCTTTTACCAATTTTTGAAAGAATTAATTGGTAATCTTAGTGTTGGTTTAATTAATGTGTCCCAATTCTTGAGCATCTTATATCATATTGGTGGAAAGCTGAGTGAATGATGAAAACAAGTAAATTATTTATTTATTTATTCAATTTATTATTTGATTTATTTTATTATTTATTTGAACGCATATCTGCTTATGATGTTTGGTGCGGATGTAGAAACTCAGTTAAGGACTCTTCATAACCAGCTGCCCAACAAAACCAGAATGGAATATAATTATCAAATTAATATACATTATCTTATGAAAGCTAATATCAGCCATGATTTCGATTGAAGTGTGTGTGAAGCATGTAAGAAATATTGATTTCTGATTTCCCAGTTTGGTTCCATTCTCTGTGCAAAATATCAGCTGCCTTGTAAAGTTGTTGTATCCCAGCTCCGGGGAGCCGAATCTGCAAAAAAATTATATAGAGGATAATTATTCTCTTATTATTTGAGCTTAGCTATCCAAAATTTGCAACTACATATGTCCAAATCGGGGCTCTTATTTCTATACGTGATCCAAAAAATTACATATATTTTTTGCCTGATTCAGGTAAGGTTGATTAAGCACTAACAGCAGATCATATTTAATCTTTTATAAGCTTATTGAAACTGTGATTTACATTGAAATCTCAACTTTCTGGCCAGTAAACTTTTAACTTATCTAAACCAAAAAGCTTTTATTTCATAATTTTCGGGAATATCGATGGGAATCCGCTTTCAATAGCAATAAAATACACAAATGTGAGATATTCTCTTCCGAATTATATATATTATATATACACATATATTGAGCAACTGTAATAAGTTCTGATAAGACGCACAGATTCTGTTAGCCAAAACGTGTCAGGATATCTGCTAGTCGATCTCTCTCTCTCTCTCTCTCTCTCTCTCTCTCTGTGTGTGTCTCTCTCTCTCTCTCTATCTCTCGACTAGATCATTAATTTTGTAATTTCTTGTTATACGTAAATCTTAAGCCTGATTGAGCACATCTGGTAAATATTCGAGCATATCTATTCTGAAATGGATAATAAATGTTTGGCGCAATTTAAATTCATTGAATTTGATGCTCAGCAACTCGTTATTTTATACACTAAATCGAACCAGTTTTTCTGTATATATGCTCGCAGCCGCTGAAAATATTACGTGACTGAAAGAAAGCTGTCTAATTTCATTTTATCTATCGAAGCATTGACAGAACACTGCATAAGGAGTATATTTATGATAGATAAAGCTAACTGGATGTGGGAGTTAGAGCTTTAATTTTACTTAGGTTGGCTGGCATTTCGCTGAGTCAACAAATAGCCAAAGCCAGACCCAGCCAGAGAGTTGAAAAACTATTGGCGTCATCGTGTTGTTGGTGGCACAACATTCATCTTCCTCGCGCCGGAAGCGCCTTTGGAAAACTCAGCAGTAGCTCCGAGCTCTGTGCTCTGGAAACAGACAATGCTGTTTTTCTCTTCAATTTAAATAAAAAGGGAATTTCTCATTTCAGTGCAGCAGCAGCAGCAGGAGCAGCAGGAGCTCGTGACTGATGGTGGCTGCTAGTTCACAGATTGAATGGAGTGCTTCCGATTTCCGGTTTCTGGTTCAAATGCGAGCGCTGCACTTTCGTCTGGAAAACTGCAATGCACCGCAAAAACTTGACAATTTTTGCGCAAAACATTACCAACACACAACTACCCTCACTCGCCGCAGCCCCACTTCTTGGATTGACTTTGACTTGGCCAAGTTTCTCATCTCTGCGCTGACAACTTTTTGCCTTATTCTCGTTTTGCGCTTAGCGCCAAAGTTTTAGCTTAACACAATTGGCGAGCAGCAGCTATTAAAAAGTTCCTCCTTTCTCTCGATCTTCTCTCTCTCTCTCTCTCTCTCTGTCTTGATTGGGTTACTCCCACGCGGTTGTTCTTGGATGCTGACCGAACCGCAGACACTTTGTCGGCCACCCAGCCATAAATCTAAGCGCGCGTCCTGTGCAACACACTCGGCCAGCTCTTCTCATCCTCTTTGAAATTCATGTAAGTATGTACATCGGTATACAGAAAATTAAATGATTGCAAGGCATCAAAGTGTTGGAGTTCACAGCGCGCCAGCTGAGAGTAATGTTTTCTCAGTTTTCTCGGTTTTACATATTTTTGTTTCGCTGCGCAACTTGCATCAGCCTTAGCGCTCCACATCCCGACAGCAGCTGGAGATTTGAATGTTTAGCGAGCTGAAAAGCAGCTCAGATTTAAGCTCAGCTCTAACCGGAAACTAAATAGGAAGTGTATTAGCTGGCAAAGCGGAAACATATTTACTGATCGCATATCTCTGGCCAACGGTCAGCATTACCTTTACTGTGGACACACAGTAACAACACCGACAGCGACACAGGCACCAGCACCAGCACCAGCACCAGAACCATTTTTGCCAGTTGCAGCAGGCGCCAATGCAGCTTTGGCTGCCCGCCCGTCTGGCCAGCTGTTTGCTTGCCCCAGCTTAACTGTTCAGCCTGTCAGCCAGCCAGCCAGCCAGCCAGCCAGCCAGCCTGCCTGCCCCCTTCCAGCTGGCCCTGCTAGCCGCCGTCCTGGCAAGGATGCTCTTAATTTATGGCATTGAACTTTTATTGGGCGAATTTCTGTTCATTTCCATGCGTGTATTAAGAATAATGGCCGCATGTGTCGGAAGTGCTTCATTTTAAAAGGGTGAATTGGCTACCATTTTACCCAATTCTGCATACACACATTGATATTTATATAAATATATATATACACTCCTCGAACCTTAAGTTTCTAGATATATTCACAGTGTATTGTGATTACTGCGTGTGAATAGCGTTTTGCGCTGCCAAATCCAAAATGTATAAATAATTAGGGCAAGAGGATATAGAATTAGAAAATAGATATGCAATTCATTCAGTGGATAAGTAAATAAATAAATGGACAATTATGTAAAAAGATATCCATTCCATTTTCCAAAAATTGTAATTATCATCATTTTATATCTACATAGAAGCCATTTTTTAATTATAAAATATTCTGCAGATATATATTTCAACAATTGTGCGACTTCATTAATTTCGCGCATTCATTTATCATGTGTGCATTTTCACGAATTCCATAAAAATGTGCAAACAATGCAATGCTGTGGTCTGCCAGGGGGACAATCCATGCCCCAATACAAATGCATTAAAATGCATTTATAGAAATTAGTTGCAATAAAAGGACTTAAAATTGAATGGCAAAATGCGAGTAATTAATATTTGTACAGTCCATCATAGCAAAAAAAAAATCAAATTGCTTAATTTTCAAGTTCATATATGATAATGGATCCAAAATGCTTTTGATGAAATCTCTTCGCTTCGCTTGGTAAATTCAATTTAAAAAAAAAAACTCGATGTGTGTTGTGCGAAAGGGGACAGTTTGGAATTTGGAATGAGTGCATTTGCCACCGGGTGACCGCTAGGCGTTGCAAGTGCGTTTATGGTTTGATGATTTACAGTCACAGCAATAAATATTCACACGGCCAGTGCGCACATTATTCGCGATTTATGCTGCGCCGCCCATAATTCATGCAACAGCACATGTAAAATTTATGCAATTATTAATTTAACACTCCTCCGCAACAATGCAAGCCCCCCCACTTTCTCTCTCTCTCTCTCTCTCTCTCTCTTACTTACTCTTATTATCAGCTAAAAACGGGCCACAAAAGCAGATCTAATCTGACCCAACTAAGCGTTATCGTCGTACGAACCAATTTTGTGGCGACAATGCAACAAATGAACTGCTGGCTGTGGGGCAATAGTGGATCCCTTCTCCTCCCCCGCACCCAGCAGCTAGCTGTAGCGCCATAATTTACCCGACGAGCAAAAACACTCACGAAAATAATAAATGTCCAATATGTTAGCTCGGCTGGCAACATGGCAAAGTCGGCAAAAGAAACCAACTCCCACACAGCACCGAATCGACAGCTGCAAATGAAAAAACAAAAAAAAACAAAAAAAAACAAAAAACACAGAAAAAAACTCATTCATTTGGCATGTGTGAAACAAACAGGAGCTCCAAAGCGAACGGCACTGCTGGTCAGGGGTGGTGGGCCATGGTTCAGTGATGGGCAAGTTCTGGGCTTGGGGCTAGCTGGAAGTAACACTGCTGCCGCCTAAAGGCGGCCTAAAGGCCAGGCCACCTGCTAGGCTCGAGTGGAGGGCGCAGCGCGGACAGGCGCAGTTTGGTTTGAACATGGACAGCATGTCGCTCCATTAATTTGCCATAAAACAGAAGTGGACTAAAATTTGTTTGCAGTTCTTTTTCCAGCAAAAAATTACAAATGGCTCCAACCGTACAAAAGATAGTTGGCGAATCGAAACGAAACAAAACGAATCGAAGCGAAAGAAAGCTGGCGGGCTCAACTGGGGTTTGCTAATTTATGAGCCTAACAACTTTGATGTTCTGTAAAATGTCCACAATGACATATTGAGAACAGGACACAGGGACATAAACTGAAAAAGAAAAAGAAAAAGAAAACGCCAAGATATTCATATGGCATATGCAATTGTATGACTGTTCTTTAACATCTATTTTGTATGTATCATATCTATTTTATATGTATAAGTAATTGGAGGTAAATATATATATTCACTTGTCCCGTCCACAAATAATTGTCTTCTATTCAAATATTTAAAGTAAGTTAAGATCTAAATACACTTTGTTTCATGGCATCCTTGATCATTACGTCAAAATATTGTATATTGGTAAGAGTTATCAAGCTGTGGGCACATTGGCCCGCGTTCGGAGCACTGCTAATCACGCCATATAGGAAGTGCCGCACCGCATTCCCAGATGAGGTCCCGCGCTCGGCCGTGAATCCCCCACCACTGTCCCCTTGGCAGGCCAAGGCCTTTCCCGTCGGGTACATGCAGAACTTATCGGAGCTAATGTCCTTCAGAGTTGCAGCGCACTCGTAGTTCGCTTTCGATGTGGCTAACACAAACTGCAATTCGCGCTTATCCTCAAAGTTCCAGCCGGCGAATTTGCCGACCACGGCATTGTTGATTTTCTCCCTCTCCGCATAATTGGAGAAGGCCACACAAATCGGCCGTATCACGTTGCTCAGATCGTAGGGCTTCTTCAGTATGATCAGCGCTAAATCGTTCAAGTAGTTATCCTCACGCCCCTTGTAGTGACTGTAACAGATACAATTAATATAGCCATTAGTTATCCAGCCGTAGTATCCAAGTAAACTTTGCTCTAAGCTAAGTTGATTTTACTCACGGTGGCACAATGATGTCCTGAACTTCTTGCATGCGATCCTCATTGGTGCGATCATTATAGTTCCTGTACAACTTGGCGGCAACCACGAGAAACGTGTTAACGCTATAAACTTGCGAGGACACATCGCTGTAGACACAATGGGCAGCCGTGATGACCACATCCGGTGTGAGGAGAGTTCCCCCGCAGACGAAGTTGTAGTTGAGCTCGGTGTGATTCACGTAGATGCCGACGTGCCAGGGAACCGCAGTGTTGTTGACGGAGTAACCAAATGCCGAGAACTGCTTAAGGGGTGTTGCTATCTGGCCACATTCCTGATCGCAGCGCACGCGGTCGCGACTCCAATATCCACTGGACAGGCACTTGATGCTCGGCAGACTGGTCTGCAGCGTCTGGAAGCCGGTGGCGCACACGAACGTGACCTCGGTGCCAGGTGGATGATATCGTTCTGCACAATTCACCTGCTGGCCATTGAAAACACAAGTGGGTCTAGTCGAATAGCCGTTAAACAGATCCGCAGAGTGGCCACTCGAGTCCCTCAAGGCATCACAGTATTCTGAAAGCAATGAAGATATCAATCCATTTACTATTACCATCAGTTGATATGTAAATTAAGAATGCTTTAATGCAGCTAGTTTGTATGTGATGATGTTGCTTTCAGTTATCTCAAAGTACTGCACTTTCTAATAAATATGTATTACAACTTTGATAAAAAAAATCGCTGTGAAAAACGCTAACATTTTTAAAGTAAAAACGATTGTCAATTCCAAAACCATCGTCTTCTTTTGCTACTTTTTAGAATTTCTTTTCAGAGCTACTCACTCACGCACTTGGGCACAATGTGCAGACTCCATTGGCGATTAGCGCAGTGGCTGCTCTCGGGTCCTTCGAGGAAGTGGCCGGGATGGCAGGAAAAGTAGACGGTTGCCCTGACAATGGGCGGTTGCAGAATGGTGCCCGATCTATCCTTTAGTATGGGACGCTCTTCTATATACGGCAATGGGCAGCCCAACTGATCTCTGGACTCGGGAAGCGGTATATCTTTCTCCGGTCTTGAGGTAGTGTTGCACAGTAGTGGTGCCTCATCGGTTCCATCAAAGCAGTCATTCTTGCCGTTGCACGCTAGCGTTTTGGAAATGCAAGCGCCATTGGCGCACTTGAAGGAATAGCCCGGACAATCAAGGTGTCCACACAGCGTGACGGACTCATCATAGCCGTCACCGCAATCATCCTTTCCATCGCACAGATATTTGGTTTTGTCAATGCATATTTTAGAGGGACATTTTATCTCATTGATCCTGCAATAAATCGACGCTGTAATCTAGAGCATGGGATAATCACTAAGCAAATGCTACTCACTGACAGTTGCCTTGCAGGCGGCGTTCGAAGTCGCGTATGTCATCATCGGTGCCGCATCGCAGCAACGTCTCATCCGAGCCATCGGCACACTCCTTGACTCCATTGCAGCTCGCCGTGCCGATCACACATGCCCCATAGCTGCACTGGAAGAAGGGCTTAGAGCAGTGCTCCCTCTGGGACACACAAGTAATGCCCGTCTCGTCGGTGCCATCTGGACAGTTCTTGACGCCGTCGCACACCTCGAACTGTGAAATGCAGCTGCCATTATCGCACTCGAACTTCGTGGCGCCACAAGCACCATAAACTGATTCTGTTTGGCATATACAAAATGATTATCAGGTGTCATAAACAGATCCTGTATTATTATTAAGTATTTGATTAGCTTTAACTCTAGAAATTTATTCTCTGAATGCACATTTATATGTAGGACTAAATAATAAAAAAATTCAACATTATCTGTTTGAGTATTTTGCTCTCAAAAGTATTTGAATTATAAAAAATATACGCGTGTTCACATATATGAAAAAGTATAATCAATTGTGTATTGATGTATTTATACCATTTAGTTCAGATGTTGATAACCGTAAGAACTCAATATTTAATTGGCAAAAAGTCTGAGGAGAGTATATTGTAGATGAACTACTACTTAGGTAAAAATAATCAAATTCACGCTGAGAACTTGTTCACAATTAAGTGCTTTTCCAAAGCTAAAATCTAAGTCATTCTGATCTCATTTGTTTATCACATATTTTATTGAAGATACATTTGTTGTTATCTCTATTTAAATTATGCATCTCAGAAACAATAACAGAGAGCTAAAGTGGCCGGGCTGCTCCGCATTCTCTTAATCTCTATGGCTCTCTTCTCTCAGTTTAGTTTCAATTTCTTATCTGCTCATTGTTGAGAACCAAGAAATCACAATGCTGGCTCAAATCAAGTTTACGGCAACGGGTCTCACGATCACACACATACACACACAAGCACATACATATATATATTAGCATGCTTAAAGTGCAGCTATAGTGTGAGAGTGTGTGTAGACATTGTATGTTTATTAGGCATTTATTAATAGACCAATTGGTATTATCATTCCGAACTTTACTTACTTGCACTGAAACTCAATGAAATCAGGCAGATGCGCAGCAAATGTGATGCGGTATATTTGAATATCATATTTTCTGTTCTACTATTGAAGTATTTTCAGAAATATTTGATATGGATATGCACATGCATCAGTAATTGCGTTAACTTATATATTGATGCGAGTTTTAATTTAGATGATTGCCTTTCAGAGAGCACATACAATCAATCCGATCGACAGCACAATTCAAACTGACTTGACTCATGTTGAAACAGCAATTGATATGGGTGAAAATATTTCCAATATGACGAATTTGAGATACCCTAGAGCAATTACCAAAGACATTCGACCCATGTCAGCTATGATAAAATGTTATAACGCTCTACGGTAATAATTTAAATAATGTCAGTCAATAGCATTCTACCTATAATAATTTTTACACGTGTTAGATTTATAAAAGTTAAAAAATTAATTTTCGTTCGTTTTGTATATGTGTAAAAATACCACAACTCGCCTCAAAAAGGGTATCAGCGCCGAGACTGTTAAATGCCAAACGAGTTTTAAGAGTATGAACTCAACGAAAATCCGCTCTGAAGAGCAATCGGAGAAATAAAGAAGAGAAGATTACTGATTTAAATGCGATTCTTTCCATAGAGTTGATTAAATTGAAAATATTGATTAAACTAGTTTGAATGTCAACGGGGAAATGTACATTTATCCGGGAAATAACATATACAAAAAAGTTTATAGATTTTATTTAGCCAAATATGGACTTACAAAATTAATTAATAATAATTATAATTTAAAGATTAATAAATAAAAAATGTAATAAAAATCTTAATAAATATATGTTTTTAGCAACCGTAGATTATCATGATTTTTTAACAGAAAACATAATTTCTCCGATAGATTTCAGATAGAACAAAATATTTCATTACAAAGAAATAATATTTAATTTTTTTTTTTGTATTGGAGAAATAACAATAGTAATTGAATTATCAGGAAAAAGTAAATTTTAATCAAAGTGAAGACAAATTCTTGTCAATTTTAATAAAAACGCTGCATACCTCAGAAGTAAATTAAATAACTCCAAAATTGCAAAAATTAATGCATACTCTTAGGCAGTACACACAATTGTGTGAGAAATTTTCAATATATGATAAGACTGGGGACACGTACTGTTCTACAAAATTAGCTCCAACACGCCAAAATCCGCTTACATTTTCCAAATATGTGGTGCGTTAGAGTCTATCTCTCGAACTGTATTCCATCTAAGAACCCAAACTCTAAGAACGCAAAGAACACAGAACAACAATAAAATGTAGCATACTTTCAGGCATATACATGAGCAGAGCAATCGAAAATTATTCGAAATGAAAACTTCGTTTTAATGGGAACATCTCGAATGTAATGCTTTCAATTTTATTATATTAGTTCAGTTCATGCATAAGTTACGCCAATTATTTGCCTTCTTTTGTCATCGATAGATCTGATTAGAGTCTGGAACTAGGCGGCACTCATCGATTTAATGTAGCACATACAGGGTGGCTAAGGCGCAGAACTGTTTTCTGAAGTGGCGCCCTCTTTCGGAGAATAGCTAAACCAACAATAACTTTTGCTTGTACCTATGAGCTTTCTGTCGCTGTGTTTGACGTTGTGCTTAACAAGCTGCAGATGGCGCTGGCTAGCGGCGCCCTCCGTGTTTCAGATACGAAAGTCAATTGTTTTTTTCTGAGTTTTAGTTCAAATTTTTATTCGTTTTATTTTGTTTACCACATTCTCACTGGTTGGTTTTTGTTTCCATTTATTCATAGTACGTATAGATTATATTGATAATTTACAACTTACGGTGCTAACATAGAATGGCGTTAAATTAGAATTACATAGTATACGAGTGTAAACGATTTGTCTACCCTACAAAAAATGACCAATTCTTTCATGTTCATTTCAAGGGTTGGAGGGGAAATATTTATCGTTATCGTTATCGTTATCATTGCATCGTTTATACATGAGTGTTAGGATTAGAAAAAACATTAGTAATGTCAATTAGGTTGTGGTGAGTGGTGTGTGGTGAGTGGTGTGTGGTGTGTGGGGCTGTGTGTGGGGTAAAGTAAACAAGCCACAAGAATGTACAATACTCGCAATGCAGCCATTTAATAATACGTACATATTTGTATTTGTTTGTATATTTTACGTATTTACGTACATAGGTATGTACATTGGTATATTATTACATAGTAAGTAAGTAGTACTAGGTAAGTTTTGTAGAATGCAATAAATTCTAACGCCGACGCGCTCCGTTTCATTTTACGTATATCCGTTGCTACGACAATTCACATTTAAATCATTTAAGTATTGTATTTTTAGCTTCTTCTTTTTTTCTTTTCCTTTGTGGGATAAATGGGGGAGGGGAAGGGTGAGGTTAGAGGGATTATGGGTGCTGGGTGCTGGACCTCTTTTAGCCAAGTTTGCCACGCATCTTTGTATATTTACGTATGTATTTGTTTCATTTCATTTCATTTCGTTTGCTTGCCATTAAAATCTATAACATTTAACTTATTTCTTACGCACTTTTCGTCTGTTTGCAAATATTCTCTTATTGTTGTTCATTTATACTCGATTTGCATGTAAAATACATAAATATAAATATATATATATATATATTTATATGTATATATATATTTTTATGTATATATATATATATATAGTTTTGTTTATCTGTTGAACCTTACGCGCTAATTACGTATACATCTTGTGAAGGTTGCTTGGGTTAGCCCTTAGGTGAATCGAACTGAAAATAGTGGCATTAAATCCATCTCCATCTCAGAGCTCGCTTCGAGCACAGCTCGTTGCTGGGCCGAGATATCGAAGGTGCTATCGGTATCGATAATGATATCGGGTAAGGGTGTCTCATCTCTACTTACGAACAATTAACGAAACGAGATCAAAAGCAATTTCGCATGCACAAACAATAATAAACACGGAGCCGATCAGAACGACCCGTCGATATCAAGAACTCTAAGCTCTAATTCCATATGTGGAGACAAAACGAAACAACAAAAATTGCAACTAAAATAATAACACAACTATTTCATTCGTTTTTCTTTGATTTTTGTTTTTTTTTTTTCGTTTTTTTTTTTTGTAGATTTTTTCAAAACCAATAATTTATTCGTTTTGCCGTGGCAAAGTTTTTGTTTTTCTGCTTGTTGTTGTCAGATAATCTCATAAACGCTTTTCATTAAACTAAACATAATAAAATTAGGATTTAATTTAGTTTAAAAAACTTTAAAAATTACTTAAAGAAAACAGCTTCACTTGTGTTGTTGTTTTTGTTTGTTTGTTTGTTTGTTTGTTGTTGTTGTTGTTTGTGGTGTGTTGTTGCACGCTTAAAAAGCCTAGGACGAAAACTAAACAAATTAATTGTAAATTAAACAGAGTTAACTAAAATTGCATTAATTTTAAGCACGAACTATACACATTTTTGTATTATATTATTGTAATTCTCCTCTCCTCTATCTTCTTCATCTTTCTTGTTCTTGTTAGTTTTCTATATTTGTTTTTTGTTTTGTTTTTTATTATATATATACTTTTACTTTGCTAACAAATTCTATTTATATTTAAGTTAAATTTTCAATAATTTTGTTTTTACGTAATTTTTGTTTTTTCTCTTTTCAATTGGTTTAAAAACGCGTCTTACAAAAATTCATATCAACAGAATTTAAATTTATTCCTTTTAACATTTTGTATGAGTATTTTTAATTTTTCTTTGATTTTCTTTTCTTCTCGAAAACAATAATTTAAACATAGCAGTAAGCAACAAAGGGATTTTTATTGGATGTGATGATGGTGGATGGGCCGGGGTGGGCAGGGGTGTGTGTGGGGAAATTGGTCGTAAACAACATTTGAACAGAATTTTTGGAAAAGAAAATTTTGCTCGTTTTAAACATAAATCTTACGCGGGCAAACAATTTTCAAATAGTTTACTTCTACCTCTCATTGTGGAATTTAAATTATATTTGCATTTGCATTCGTATTCGTATTTTGTATTTTGTATTTTGTATTTTGTATTTTGTATTACATATATGCATATATATGTACGTATGTATCTAGGATAAATAGATTTGTGTTCCATCCACAACTCTTTTTATTTTATTTTCCATCTCGTTTTTGCATTCACTTAGAGTCTAGGAAATTTATTTGTAATTTTGTTGCTGTTTGCTTTTTACGTATTTTCGGTTGCTTTTCAAACAATTTGAAATAGTTCATTTATCAATATCAAAATCAATATTATAATTGTCAATTTTAGTGTTAATCAATTAATCAATTATTCAATTATTCATTTAAGTTAAGTAAATGGTTTACTTTATTTGTTACAATTTTCTTGCTCTGCTCTGCACGCAGCACAGTACAGTTATATAATTCAACCTAATTCTGATCTAAATGCCCGCCTTGGACCGCCGCCGCCGCAGCTGCTGCCGCCGCCGCCTTTTGCGCCTGCGCCTGTTTCTCCTGCTCGTTGAGCTCCTTGATCGCCTGAATCTCCTTTTTCAACTTCATCCGCCGGTTCTGGAACCAGATCTTAATCTGTCGCTCTGTCAAACACAGCGCGTGCGCCATCTCAATTCTCCGTCTGCGGGTCAGATAGTGATTCGTGTGGAACTCCTTCTCCAGCTCGAGCGTCTGGTAGCGGGTGTAAGTCTGTCGGCCGCGTCTCCTCAGCCCATTTGTGCCTGTTCCGAGAGAATACAAGAGTTATCTGTTAGACAAGTCTAGAGTATAATTGATAATTAAAGTATCACATCAGCCTTAAATGTCTGTTGAAATCGCAATTAAGCAGCTCGGCCAGCTTCATTATATGTTCAATATGCCATTTTCAGCTGATGTCATTATTTATCGGGCAGGGCAGGGGGGAAGGGAATTCATTTGACAAAGCAAGACAGCGAGTGTGGGTTCAATTGCCTCATTTGGACCGTTTATAAACATTTCAACAAGCATATTAAATTGAAAAATCATTTCGCAAAATTTGCAGCAGACATCGTTTGGTTTTTTTTCTTCTGTTTTTGTTTTTTATTATTCTTCTTTTTTTTTTTTGCTTTTGTTGTTGTCAAAACATAAATATAAATTTTTCAGCAACGGATCAGCAACATTTTGACGTAGGCCGGCTACAAGTTACAAAAACCAAGAAACCAAACAGAAGACAAAAAAAAAAAAAATTCATTTCATTTTTATTGCCATTGGCAGTTGGCTGTTGGCTGTTGGCCCGTTGGCCCGTTGGCTTGTTGCTTGAAGTTACAGTTTGTTTGTATCTGTATCTTTGGCAAGGAGATCGTTACTTTAAATTGAACGTTTGCTGCCGTGCCGCCGCCGCCAACCACTGTCCAAAGTTGCTGCTGTCAGTCGAGTTACACGTTGCACGTTGCACGTTGCATGTTGCATTTGCTGACTGGCAGGCTTGCAGTGACGTTGTGCCCGTGTGCCACTTAAATTGCAGTTATGCCATTGTAATGCAACTTTAATTGGCCAGTCACAAAAGTAGACAACAACAAAAACAACCACATTTAATCTGACTGCACTTCAACAATTGTTTCTCTCCCTTTCTCTCTCTCTCTCTCTCTCTCTCTCTCTCTCTGTCTCTCTCTCTCTGTAGGCTCTGCCTTTCTGGCGTGTTAATCTCTGATTTTAAATATTTATGAAGTTTAATTTGCCTCAAGTGCAATAACTCAATTTTATGTGAGCACACACACACACACACACACACACACACACACACACGCACGTGCTCATATTCTCGACTGCATTTATGCACAACGAGAAGAGCTGCGAAGAGAGCTGGAGAGATTTTATCACTTGAGCTTTCGTAGCTTGGTTGCCTCTGTTGCCAATGGACAATGTTAAGTAACTTTCGCATTTTATTGGGGCGCTGTTTGAGTCTGGTTCGCCCCGGCCTGGCCTGGCCTGGCCTGGCCTGGCCTGGCAAAATGTTAAGTTAAATATTATGAGCATTTATTATGTTATAAATTTGGCCTAAAGGTATTAACAAATTTATGCCGACACGAAAGTCATAAAGTGAAAACGCATTTATCTTTCACATTTACTCGCATATGAGTATTTCAGCATGGCACTATGTACGAGTATCTGTATCTGTGCATGTCTTACTATGTCTGTAAATACATACATACATACATACACATTATATACATATGTATGCATGTACACTTGCCCAGCAGACACACGTTAAATAAATGGCGAGTACATTTTATAGACCATTAAAGCGATATGAAAATAAAATTGTTCGCCATGCAACAAAGAAATTATTTACTGTATGAAATATAAGCAAAATGTATATTTTTATTTTGTTTATAGCAAGGGATTTAAATATGCGACAAAATGTAAACAAATTATTGAGTATATGAGAGAAAATCTGTGAAATTACTGACTTTTATACATCAGATTCATTATAGACGATAACACGTCAGATTGATAAATAGCTGTGAAATATGTTTATGAATACTATAAATCATTTGGACATTTTATAATTATTCATTATCAAGCAGACTGGGCTGCTCTATGTAAATAAATTGTTTAGTTTCTAATTCGGAATTTGCCTGTTCAGAAAGCGTGCTAAGCTTTGAGTATAAATTATTTAATACAATATTTGTTGGTTGTTCATTGTTGGCATAGACAAATTATCATAAAGCCGAATATCATATGACAAAATCAAATACATAGTCTTGGTTTGGTTGTTTTCCACTCACAGATCCAGAATCTTTACAATTCCAATTCAGTGGTTGTCGCCCCCACCCCCCTCAACAAGCTGCTCTCGCATTGGTTTCACATGCAAATAATACGAATAAAATGGCAACCCGTGAACGCATAAATACATTTATTTAGCACTAAACCTGTTTGCTGATTAACTTAAATCTCAGCGCCTCAACTTGGGCCCTCCAACACAACCTCCTCGCATGCCCTTTTATGCCCTCGCTGTCGCCGGCTCGCTCGCACGCAGTGACCCCGAGTCCTGGCGCATGTCCTGTGCCAGTCGAATACATCACACTGAGGTTGGCAAAAGTTTCATTTTATTTAGGAGGCACAACTGGAGGCACAAGAAGGCGGCTCCCGACTTGCCCCCCAGCCGTGGTACGTGAGTTGAGCTCAACAATTTTAAATGGAATTTGTCACGCGCCTGCCGCAGTTTCCTGTCTCTTTACCTCCTTGCTATACTATACTATACACTGCTATATATACATATATAGATATGTATGCAAAAATAAACTTTTCACCAAAGTTTGCTTCTATTTTTTTTTCCCCCCAGCTTTGGGTTATTTTTTTTTATTCGGGGCTCACATTTTTTTTAGCACTGGCCAAGTTTAAAATTTATTATGCGAAAAAGTGCGAAATTCATTTTGCTGCCTTGGTCTTCTTCTTCTGCTGCTGCTGCTGCTGCTGCTGCTGCTACTGCTGCTGCTGCTGCTTCTGCCACGTCTCCTGCTGCGTCGCCATTTTCTTTTGTAGACTTTCGGAGCATTTTTGTGTATTTCTAAGTACATAATTTAAATGCTGGTATGTGCGGCCGAGGGGCTGGACAGAGGGGGGCGGGGAAGGGCTTCAACTAGACAATAAAACTTTCTATGGCAAGGCGCGAAAATTTTTTTTTAGATTATTTAGACGAGCGCTGGAAGTGGATGGAGATGTGGGGTATACTAGAATCTTTTGCAGAACACTCATATATCTATCTTTGCGTGCCGCCTCCCTTTCAGATACATTTTCAAGGTTCTGTCTACGCTGCTGTGCTGACGGCTGATTTTCGTTTTTATTTAAGCGGGGAGCGCGGCCCTTCTTCCTGGGTAGCAGCAGCTGCGGCCCGGCAGCACAGTACGTGTTGTATTTTTTAACTTAAATTCCTGTGGGATTTAAAGTTTTGACAGTTTACGTGTTTGCCTTTGCAGCGAACTTTGAACCAAGCCGGAGCCCCAAAACAAAAAAAACAAAATAAATACAAAAAAAAAAAGAAACCAGAAACAAGGGCAAAACAAAAAATCCACGTCTTTGGCCAACTGCCACACCGCAGTAGCCTTATCTTGCTCACTCTCTCCCTCACACACTCACTCTCTCCCTCTCTCTCTCCCTCTCTCTCTCTCTCTATCTCTATCTCTTTCGCTTATTGACTCACCCCAAGGTAGGGCGTTGCCAATAAATCTCCAGGTGACGGTGACTCCATGTTGCATGCGGCGCATCGTGTGATCTATGCTTCTATTATAACTATTTATATACACAGCCACACAGATACAGATACACTTGGAGAAGCACTCACAGATACTGCAGTGCGCATGTGTGTGTCTGGTGGCTAGGCGACTCTACAGTTAGACTGCTTCAATGGCTGGCAGGCAGGGAGGGAGGCAGGCAGGCAACTACTTATGTTTAATTCGATTTCATCGCAACTTGCCACTTCGCATTTCACATTCCCTTCCCAGCTGCCCGAAACAACGGTGCCTCAGATATCTCTGCTACCCGCCCTGTGCTCTAATTTATGTTTTGTTTTGTCGTCGCTGTTGCCGGCACATAAAAATGTCACGCACGCGCCCAAAAAATGAGAAAAATCCATCGCAAAGCATGTCTTTAAGCCCGTGGCCAAAGACAGAAAGCACTTTGATAATCAGGCAACAATTTAGTTTGTAATTCGCTGGAATTAAGAGCGCTTAGCTGGAAAAAGAGGTGAACGAGCCGGAGAAAGTACGAGCAAGTCGGGCATCTTGGCTAGCGATCGAATTCATCTTAAGAACTGTCTCATCTTTGGCTCAAAACAGCTCTCAGTTTGTCCTTTTCAAGTTTTAATTTGGCAACTTACAGATAGATATCGACAAGCAAAGTTCAACTGTCATCAATAACCGAGTCCAATAAAATATTTACGTTCCTTCTCGTATGTGTGATGCCAGACTGCATATAAATATTAATTTAATCACAATTTCAATACAATACTCGTAAAATTCAAAGCTGTTGGTTTCACATGAACAGACACATTTTAGTTGTGTATCCTTTTTGCTATGCCTTGAATCAAGGCCAAGCGCAAAAGCTGTGCGGAAGTCGCTCAACCGGAAGTGGTTTGACAGAAACCCTTTTGACCAAAAGGCACACATACAAACGAAATCAATAGGAAATCGATTAATTGACTGTATGATAGTGAAACACGCCCCCTTCCCATCCACTACCCCAGCTCTTGTCGCTTTTGTCTTAGTCGAACAACGCACGCATTTTGTTCGCAATTTAATTAAATCTATTTTCGTGCGTGCCGCTTGTGGGCGTGTTTCACCTTTTGTCGCCGGAGCAGGGGCACCCACGCGGACAAATAAATATATATATATATGTATCTGTATACTTATATATATATATATATTCCTGTCGTGGAAATTCAGCTAGTCGAGAGTGTCGATAAAACAATTAAATGCGCCTGGCAGACGCACAAAGCCACAGAAAGTCTAACTGAAGGCTGATTGCGAGACGGAAAACTAATTTTCCGCACTGCCAATCGAGGTGCACTAAATCTGTCAATTAAATTGGCCGCAGGGAGTGCGATTCCCAATGCGTATACAGATAGACAGAGAGATGTGGTGTTGGTGTGGTGCAGGGGCGTGCACAGCCGCTGTTTCCTCAGACGTGATTATGGTCGATGCCTATGTCGTTGCTGTCTATGCTGAATATTGATGCTTGCGGTGGCAAATGCGCAATTGAGTTG